GTGACACTATTGTTTTTAACCACGAATGTGCGCGGCGTTAAGGCGAGAGGCACATTTTGGCAAGGAAACACCATCAATCAGTGAAGCTCTTGCGAACTTGTAAAATGAATGCATGCGGCGCTCAAGCGAGAGCCACATTTTGAAAATGGGTCGCCCTCAATCCGTGAAGCTCTTGCATATTTGTAAAACGAATGTGCGCAACGCTAAAGCGAAAACCGGATGCTGAAAACCACCCGCCCTCAATCTGCGAAGTTTTTACAATCTTTTGGAACGACTGTGCGCGGCGCTAAAGCGAGAGCCACATTTTGAAAACGGCCCGCCCTCCATCTGTGAAACTGTTGCTAGCTTTGAATCTTAGGGTCATAAATGATGAGGACCTCTCAGGCAAAACGCCCGGCCCGCCCTCAAAAACTGGCCTCGGGGTGCGACAGGGAGACGTTACTTAGAAGGAAAAGGAATGGAGGAAGACGCCGTCGCCAAGGTCCACGACCACCGCGCCGCTACCCGGGCCGCCGAAGGCCGCCGAGGCCGCTGAACGAGACTTCCGACGGGCTTGATTGGTTCAAGCAGAGGGCCACGACTCTCGTGCCAGACCGGCTTTGGATGGCCCCGGGGCCCGAACGCAGCTCCCGAATGCCGAAGGAAAGTCGCTCGGTGAAATTGAGGCAGCACACGCAGCAACATAGTGTTATGTCGGGCGTGTCCCCCTAGAGGGGCATTTTCGACGAAAAATACAAAATACCCCAAACATGCCCCAAACAGGTAAAAAAATACTTCAAAAATAGTCCCCAGACTATTTTTGGACTATTTTTCATTTGTCGTCGAGAATCCCCCTTTAGGGGGACACGCCCGACATCAACATAATGGAGCAGCCCGCCCGAAGACCAGGGAGGCCAGCCGGGGGGCCGCCCGCGGCCCGAGAGCGGCGAAAAAGCCCCGCGGGGCCCCTCTGCCCCAGGGCCCCCCGCTGCTCCGCGCCCTGCGCCGAGGGGGCCGCCCAGCGCCCCGCCGAGAGGGCCCGCCGCTCGGCCCGCCGAGCGGCGCCGCGGGGGTCCCGGGCCGCGGAGGGGCCCCGCCGGAGGGGCCGCGGAGGCGCCGCCGAGGCGCCGCCGAGGGGGGCGGCGGGGCGGCGCCGAGGCGCCGCCGAACACCGCCGAGCGAGGCGCCGAGCCAGGCGCCGCGCTCCGGGGCCGCCGGAGGGGGGCCGCAGGGGCCGCCGGGGCCCTCCTCGGGGCGCGGGCGGCGGCGCAGGCTCTGCGCCCAGGCGCGCAGCAGGTCGCAGGCCTCCAGCGGGGAGGCGCGCTCGAGGCCGCGGGCCTGGCCGCACCCGGGGGGGCGGCGTCGCGGCACTCCGGCCGCAGTCCTAGAGATCCGACGCTCCAGAAAAGTTGGAGCGGCGGGATTTGGGCCGTTTTCGGCCTCCGGGGGCCCTCGCCGGGCCTCGGGAGTGTCAACGAAACGCCTCAGGACGAAAACTCGGCCACGGGGAAATGGTCCGGAGCCGATGCGTCGGAAAAATTGGAGCGGCCGGATGTCTGGGATAGCTTCTGCTCGCGCTCTGCTGCTTCGATATGCCCGCTGTATATGCCGCATATCCGACAAGAAATCGATCGGATCGTACGAGATCTGAAATCACATCCTTTGTCGACCCTGAGCTTCGTGCGGCGCCCCAGGGCTCTGCGGGCCCCTATCGGGAGATGGGGCACTATCGTGGGGCACCCGCTGGCAAGTCAATTTCTTATCCTGGTGCGCCCGTCGCAAAACAATAGCAACCTTTACACTGGGCCCGGCGCGGCCATGCACGACCCGTGACCCCCTCCTGCTCCCTTTCCTGGTGCTGCTCTTTGTGCGTCGTCCCTCTGCTCCAGCGCTCCAGCTGGCGCTCCTGGTCCTGCTCCCGAGCCCGCGTGATGCCTCACCCTCCCCCATCGAGACCTGACCGCCGACGTGGTGATCTTACCAAGCGTGGACCACCCGGGCCGGCTTTTCATCATGCGCCGTTCTTTGACGGTCCCGGGGCCCAGAAAGGGCCCCCGGAGGCGGAAAGTTGGCAGAATCTCCCGTCGCGTTTTTGCATGACCCAGGTGATTCTGAACCAGTCTGGGAAGAAAGGCTCGAAAGAGGAGAAGGAGGAGGAGGAGGAAGAGGAGGAGGAGGATGAGGAGGAGGAGGGAGAGGAGGAGGAAAAAGAGAAAGAGGAGAAGGAGGAGGAGAAAGAGGAGAAAGAGGAGGAGAGCGAGGAGGAGGAGGAGCAGGAGGAGGAGCAGGAGAAGGAGGGAGGAGGAGGCGAGGAGGAGGAGGAGCAGGAGGAGGAGGAGTAGAGGAGGAGGGAAGGAGGAGGAGGCGGGGAGGAGAGGGAAGGGAGGCGGGAGGAGGAGGAGGGAGGAGGAGGAGAGGAGGAGGAGAGGAGGAGGAGGAGCAGCAGGAGAGCGGAGGAGGAGGAGGAGGAGGAGGAGGAGGAGGAGGAGGGAGGAGGCGAGGAGGAGCAAGGAAAAGAGGATCAGGAGGAGGAGGAGGAGGAGGAGGAGGAGGAGGAGGAGGGAGCAGGAGGAGGAGGAGCAGGAGAAGGAGGAAGAGGAGGAGGGAGGAGGAGGAGGAGCAGTAGCAGGAGAAGGAGGAAGAGGGATGAGGATGAGGATGAGGATGATGAGAGAGGAGGAGAGGAGGAGGATGAGGAGGAGAGGAGAGGGACGATCGGAGGAAATGAGCGAGAAAAGGCCTGGGGATGAGGAGGAGGAGGAGAAGGAGGAACATAAGGAGGAGGACGAGGAGGAGGAGGAGAAGGATCAGGAGAGCGAGGATGAATAGGATGAGGAAGAGGTGGAGGACGAGGAGGAGGGCAAGCAAGAACAACTGGAGGAGGAGGAGGAGGAGGAGGAGGAGGAGGAGGAGGAGGAGGAGGAGGAGGGGCGGGAGGAGGTGCAGAGGTGCAGAGAGACGACGAAACGTTCGGAGCAGCTGGGACCTGTTGCTCCAGCTGCAGCCGCCCGTGCTCCAGTGCCTTCGTCACGGCAGCCAGGTCAGGGACGAGGGCCTCTTGGCAGCATTGGGGGATACAGTGAAGGAGGGGCAGGGGCAAGAGTGAGGGGGGAGAGGACGGCGGGAGGAAGAGGCATTGGGCAGAGGGAGGGAGCGTGAGCGGAGCGGAGACCTCGGCAACAGTTCGAATGACGACCACAGCATGCGTGCGCGCACTCTGGATGGTGGCTCCTGCCAGTGCCATTAGTTGCTGCTGGTGCTGTGCAAGGCGAGACCGCAGAACGCCTGAGGAGGAGGAGGAGGAGGAGGAGGAGGAGGAGGAGGAGGAGAAGAAGGAGGAGGAGGGGGAGGTCTGAGCTGGATAAGCCCAGAAAAATTTGGCCAAACGGGGGGGGGCGAGGGCAAGGTCGCTCAAAATAGCCCAGCCCATCCACAGGGCACTTGCAACCCACACTTCCGCCGTCTTCCGCCAAGGAAGACATGGCAACTCCTTCGATCCCCGAAGCCACTGCCCTTTTAGGAACGCTCCATGTGCACGACCTCGCGGCCTCGGCCAGGAAGGCCCGTGCGCAGCTCCTGGGGTCCAAGACGCGAGGCCGGCCACGGCGACAGCACAAGCGAAAGCCGACCGAACCGAACGCAAAACCGAGACCGACCGAGGCCGACGGGCTAGGCGCGTAGCGACCCCAAGTGTGCACTCGAAACGCTGTCATAAGGAATCCAGAGCAAGGAACGAGCCCCGTCTTTCCATAAGATAGAACCCCTTCTTTCTATAAGATAGAACTCGATTCCACATCGAAACCCTAAGGACAACCTAAGACAGACTGTGATACAATGAAGGCACTCGGAGCCCCTCCCCAACGAAAAGGGTTCCTTCTTCAGCGGCCCGACTGTATGGCTGTAGCCATGGCTGGGCCACCTCGGCTTGGAGGCGGCCAGGGGGTCTGAGCTGGCTGGGTCCCCGAGAGACTCGGTCGAGAGGGGGAGGGCCCGGACCCGTCCTTGGGTCCACCTCCACCTGGTGCAGTTCTTGAACCCAGATCCGTTTTCCTTCCACGGCCCCGTGGCCCGACAACGCCCCCCCCGAGGCCGTGCAGCACAAGCAGGAGCGGTCGCACCTGGCACCTCGAACCTCCTCCCCCCCTTCTCGCTCGCAGCCGCCCCGAGGGCCGCCTCGGCCCCCCCCAGCCGGCCCCAACGCAAGAGGATCTTCGGCCCCCCCGGGCGCCCATCAGCCCGCCCGCCAGGCCCAGGGCGTGGTGGGCTTGTTTACCACCACCACCACCAGAAGTAGGAGGGGGAGGGGGTCCTCCTCCACTCCTCCTCCTCCTCCTCTACCTCCTCCTCCTCCTACCTCCTTCCCCCCTCCAACTGATGGTGGTGGTGGTGGTGGTGGTGGTGGTGGTGGTGGTGGTGGTGGTGGTGGTGGTGGTGTTGCTGGTTGGAAAGCAGGCCCATCAGGGCGGCCGCCTCGTCGCACCTCGCCAGGCACTTGCCGCGGGCGGCCGCCGGCGGCGAGGCCCGCCGCCTGGCCGGGGCGGGGGCGGGGCCCCCGCGCGACGGCAGGAGGCGCTCGGCACGGGGCGCGACTGGCGCGCGGGGCGCCCACGCGGCGCCCACGAGGCGGCGACGTGGCGCCGCCTCGGCGGACCCGCCCAGCGCCAGGGGCGCCCACGAGCGCCCGCGAGGCGGCGAGGTGGCGCAGCCCCCGCGGACCTACCCGCCCTCGCCCCTCGTGGGCGCTCGTGGGCGCCCTGGCCGACGACGACCCAGACCCCCTCGCGAAGCGACAAGCCTCGCGACGGGTGTTTGCGTTTGCTGTTTGCGGCATCTGCGTGGATGGCCACGCTGATTGCTAAGGGGAGGACAGTTTATCACTGGACACGAATGTGAGTTACATCTGATCTAGGCTGGCTTGTAAGTGGGTTACGCATGCCCTAAGTGACGCAAACGGATTAGGGAGCTCCTGTAAATGAGCTCATCCATCTCAGCCCAAGTATAACCGTCTTAGCCCTCTTGCCAGCCGTAAACCGCTTAGGGCACTTCTACCCTACTCATAATCGAGGTCAGGCAACGTATACCAGATCTGCACATCCACTAACAAAAATCGATCCCCTTAGTTAAGAGCCCCCGTCGTCATCCAAATGTGGGCCCGTACTGGGCCCCGGGTCCGTCAAAAAACGACTCATGATGAAAAAGGGGCCCCGGGGGGAAAACCCGTCACCCCCCCCCAAAAAAAAACGGACTCCCGGGATCTGGGCAGACGGGCCTCGAAGCGGCCACTGGGCCTCACATGGCGTTTCAGGGGGGTCATCGGAGACGTCCCAGAGACACCCAAGACAGCACAAGAGCGATCCAAGAGTGACCGACGTGACCTCAAGATGGCCCAAGAGGCCGCCAGGACGGCCCCAAAGAGGCCTCCAAGAGCACTCACAAGAAGGCCCCCCCGAGGCAACAATTATTGATTTTCTGTTCGTTTTTGGTGAATTTTAGGGTTCTCCTCTTTTCGGCTTCCCGACGCTCCAAGACGGCGGTCTTCTGGGCGTCCGAAGCCGCCTGGGAGGCTCCAAAATCGCCCCACAACCACCCGAAAGGGCTTCCAGGCAGTCCAAGAGAGCCCCCAAACGGCACAACACGGGTCCAAGATGGCCCTCAGAGAGCCCCATGGCGGTCCAAGATGGCCCAAAGACACCCTCCGAAGAATTCCAAATCGTGATTCCGTCGTTCAGGGACACCGCGGTTGGAGGCAGGGCGGCCCGAGGAAGCCCCCGGAGGCCCCCAGAATACGCCCAGGAGGTCCCCAGAAGGCCTTAAGAAAGCCTGAAACAACTTTTGTGAGGCCCCTAGAGGCTCTCCAAGGAGGAGCCCCCGCAAAAAAGAGCTGAGGAGGATGGTGAGAAGGCGCAGGGCATGGCGAAAGTAAGGAAACAAACGCATGGAGGAAGGATAACGAATAACATGCTTTTAGCGGCGATGCCAGAAAAGGCAACCAGGTAATATCGCTAAGTTGTCGGCTTGACCTTCCTGCTGTTCCGCCTGCATACCAAACTTCAAGGACCAAGGTGCATGGCGCGAAGCGCCACTGCAGTCTTGTGTATTCCTCTTCCTATATTTTTATAAGCCCAGGCGGGGGGAAAACCCGTCCCCACCCCCCCCAAAAAAAACACACGGATTCCCTGGATCTGGGGCTTTGGGACCTTCCAGACGGGCCTCAAAGCGGCCACCGGGCCTCACATGGCGTTTTGCCAAGCCTTCCCAGCACACCTAGGGCGATCAGGGGGGTCATCGGATACGTCCCAGAGACCCTCAAGACAGCACAGGAGCGCCCCAAGAGTGACCTACGTGAGCTCAAGATGGCCCAAGAGGCCTCCAGGACGGCCCCAAAAAGGCCTCCAAGATCACTCCCAAGAAGGCCCCCCGAGGCAAAATTTATTGATTTTCTGTTTGTTTTTGGTGAATTTTAGGGTTCTCCTCTTTTCGGCTTCCCGACGCTCCAAGACGGCGGTCTTCTGGGCGTCCGAAGCCGCCTGGGAGGCTCCAAAATCGCCCCACAACCACCCGAAAGGGCTTCCAGGCAGTCCAAGAGAGCCCCAAAACGGCACAACATGGGTCCAAGATGGCCCTCAGAGAGCCCCATGGCGGCCCAAGATGGCCCAAAGACACCCTCCGAAGAATTCCAAATCGTGATTCCGTCGTCCAGGGACACCGCGGTTGGAGGCAGGATGGCCCGAGGAAGCCCCCGGAGGCCCCCAGAATACGCCCAGGAGGTCTCCAGAAGGCCTTAAGAAAGCCTGAAACAACTTTTGTGAGGCCCCTAGAGGCTCTCCAAGGAGGAGCCTCCGCAAAAAAGAACTGAGGAGGATGGTGAGAAGGCGCAGGGCATGGCGAAAATGAAGAAAAAGAAGCATGGAGGAAGGATAACGAATAACATGCTTTTAGCGGCGATGCCAGAAAAGGCAAACAAGAGTTCTCGCTAAATTGTCGATTTGACCTTCCTGCTATTCCGCCTGCATACCAAACTTCAAGGACCAAGGTGCATGGCGCGAAGCGCCACTGCAGCCTTGTATATATATATATATACACATATATATATATACATCTATGTATATACATATATATTTATATATATATATATATTCACCGCTCTCTGGCCAGGCCCATCCTGAACCCAGGAGCAGTGTATGCGCCACGCCCTCCTGGCTAGGGCAGGATGGCGTATACACAGATCCTGGGTTCAGGATGGGTTTGGCCAGGGAGCAGTGAATATGCATAGACCTCGTCGCCCGAAAGAGGGTTGAGAAGTCTGGTGGGCCTCGCAACGACAGAATCGAAGCGCCAGATGTCTGGGGATCAGAGGTGGACAGAACACCCTCTAGCACGGCGCCCTTCACGTGCGCACTGCACTGGGGCACTGCACGTGCGCGCTGCACTTGCATTACAAGTGCACCCCAGCGAGATAGCCGACCGACGTCCAAACACAATCGAACGCATCCAGCGAAACGCAACGCTGATTAGAGAAACCGACTGCGGACTGCAACGGTGCAATCGAATGCCAGGGTCGAGCGAACCGGTGCAGAGCTCCTCGTTCGACTTGTCTGGTCGGGCCTTCTCTCAATGCCCGATTCGCCCCTGATAGCCGCACGCCAAAGGTCACTCCAGAGAAGGGCCGCTCTTGCGCGTGTAGCCGAGCGCTGTTGGAACGGTAACAATATACTGGCACGACTGGCTCAAGATACCTTCCGGGAGCCCCAAGAAACTTCAAGCGACACAAGTTTCGACCCATTCCGAAGGACCGGATTTTCATCCCGAAGCATGTGTCACAATCCCGAGGCCCGGTACGGGCCCGATGAGGCCGAAACCATCGACAAGCCTTGCGTCGTGACTTCTGCACGGGGCCTGGGCGCCCAGTGGACCAGCGCAGATCTCCTCGGTCGACCCCCCCCCAGGCTGGGCGGGGGAATTCGAATCGGCGGAAAGCGGCAGGCTAGAGTGTGCCTCCAGTGAGAACTCGAAGCCCACCTCGGAATCCCAAGCCGAACCGACTCGGAATCGGAAGCCATCGAAAGCGAATCGAACCGGACCGGAGGAGTCGAAATGAGCCCCGTCGAGGGGATGCTGAGGGCCCCGCGGGGGCCGAGCGGCGCGGGGATGCCCATCGAGGGCCTGCCGTGGCCAGGGCGCGGGGTGCGGGGCCGCGGCCCCCCGGCGCTGCTGTCTTTCCGCGCGGGCGGCCCCCTCTGGCGCGAGAAGGGACGCACGAGTGTGTGTGTGTGTCGTCGGCGGCGAGGCAGAGTTGGCTGCACCAGCGATAGAGCTAGCCAGGGGGGCACCGAAGGGCGAACTGGCCAGTGTGCACCGAGGGGGGACGCGCGCCAGGACGCACAGGGGCATGCTAGCACTCTTCGGCGGCGGGCCAGAGGGGGGGAAGAGAGAGGGGGAAGGCCTTCTCCATAGGCTCCTCCTCCTCCTCCTCCTCCTCCTCCTCCTCCTCCTCTCACTCTGCCTTCCCCTCCCTTCCTCCTCATCCTCCTCCTACCTCACTCCGTCTTCGTCTCTCGCCCCCTCCCAAAGGCCTCCTAGATGGGGTCGGAGTAGATGGGGTCGGAGGATCGCGCCGCATCGCCGACGTCGGCTGTGCATCGGCGACGCCAGCGTGGAGGAAATCGGGCTCCGCACCGAGCCGCATCGCAGATGCGTCGGCGATGCGGCGCGATCCTCCGATCCACTCTAGTCCGACCCCATCAAAGAGACCTACATTCTCAGAAGGTTCGGAAGTCCCACTGGCCTTCGAAGAACTTCTCCAAGCCTTCCCCGAAGGTGCAGAGCACACTTCTCAGAAGGCGCGAGGGCTTCTGCGAAGTCCCGCCGCCTTCTGAGAAGGCCTTGCTCCTTCTCAGTTCTCCCCCTCGCTTGCCGCCGAGCATGTCCTCCTCGGAGGCGTGCGTCCGACCCGAATAGATAGCATAACCATGTTGCAGAATAGATCGTTTCCCGAGCGGTGGGGCCAGACAGCGTCCGCCACGGAACTTATACCAGAAGTCTTCTTGGCTCGCGCGTCGCCCCCTGGGCGCCCGGGGGGCGACGCACACATAGTGGTAGTGTGCTGGGATGACGCCGACGAGAGAGCCGTGGAGGAGGGGGAGAGGATGGGGTGGGAGCAGGGCATGTGGATATTTGCCGCCACCGTGCATGGACGCTGGACCAGCCTCCTCTTGGATGCCTCTTGGGGTCTCTCGAGGTGCCTCTCGGGGTCATCTTTGAAGCCTCTGGGGCGCCTCTTCGGGGCCTCTCGGCTCTCGGGGGCCTCCCGGGAGCCTCCGGCACCCTCTTGGGCGCCTCTGAGACTCTGGAGGCCTCTCAGGGGCACCTTAGCGGTCGCAAGGCCCATCCTGGATCAGGCGAACAGACTGGCACACCCACATTCAAAACCCAAGAGAAGCAGACAGGAGAATCAATAAACAGAAGCAACAAGTACCACATCAAGCCGAGGTGATCATCGGCAAAGGGCAGAAGCACACAGCAGCGACAAGCAGCATGCAGCAGCGACCATCAGGGCAAGAACACCAGTGAGCCTCATGCACTCGGTTTGAAGGGAAGGTTGGGAGGAAGGGAACGAGGGGAACGATGGCAGAAGTAGAGGATGGCGGTAGGGCGGGAACGAGAGAGCGATGGGAGGACACGAGGAAGGCTGGGGAAGGAACGAGCTGACAAACCCGAACCAGTGCATACCACGGCCGTGTGCCCTGCTACACGCAAGCAGTGCTCGCGCACTCCAGATCCAAATTAAAGGGTGCACGGGAAGGACGTACGACCAAGGCCGTCCGAACATGCCTCAGGATGAGCAAAAGAGTCAAGGATGCACGGCGACAAATGCAAAATCACTAACCCTTGTCGCTCGTCACTGTAATCAGCGATGCATCTACCCCTGCACATTCATCCTGAACAGCAGGAGGCAACAAAAAGGACACGCGTGCGTGTCCTGCACCCTGGCGTCTCCCGGGAGGCGGCTTTCTGCACTTGC